CTTTCTATATGTTTGCATATATTGTTAACTCTATAATTACTGCATCATTCTACTCACTTCTCTGTATCATCAATTTAACAAGGCGTAATATTACTCGCGTAATGTTTTTTCTCTTTTTCTTTTCTTTATATTTATATCATCAAGATCATTTGGATGAGTTAATTCTCATCTTTTGATCCTTTTGATCAATTTTCTTTTCTTTTTTAGGCTCAAGTAAGTAAGAATTTTTTTCATTCTTTTTTTTATTTTAGGTTTACACCGGAAAAAGAACGAAGCTCTTTAAATAACAAGAGTATGTTGATCTTTTTTTCTTTCATAATACTAACAGAATATTTTTTTTTCTTTTAGAACACATCTGAGCGGGTCCAATATGGGTAATTGATTATTTCCTTTGTCTTATTTTTTCTGAGTTAGGGCTAGGAAAGGGTGAGATTAGGTTCTTGAGATCAAACACTGTTAGGTAGAGGGTAGAGACGAGATGCAGGACGAGCCTTAGATGCAGTTAGATGGGTGAAGATAAATAGGTGCATTGATTGTGAGACAACCGTCTCGTTATTAAAAGAGGCTTTCCAGACTGCGGCGTCAAACACTGGTTAGGAACGATTCTAGTATCTGTGGCACATGAACGATCTCTGTAGTTCTCACTGGCATTGCGTCACGCGGGAGATTCTTTGAATGATGTGAGAACTGTGCGACGCGTGCATGCGCGAGCAGTAGTTTTGTAGTTCTGAACGAAGCGATTAATTCGATTCGAGAGTAAATCTTTGGATACGGTTATTTCCGTCATAACCACCATCGACGACATAGAGATTGCTCTGACGATCAATGGACAAACTGTCGGGGTATTTGAGCTGATTTGCTCCGTTCCCATTGCCATTTCCACCAACAACGACGGTACCCTCTTGTGCTCCGTGGGTCCAGTGCATTACACGACCATTTTTGAAATTTGCAACATAGAGACTACCAGACGTATCGACAAAGAGTCCAGCAGGGATATGCAGTTGTTTTAGAGCATCTACCAGTCCGTGACCTCCAGCAACGACAATGCCTTCTTCTACATCTTTAGTTCATTTCATTATACGATCATTTTCACTGTCTGACACGTAGACATTTTGTTGTCGATCGACAAAGATGCAGTCCGGATAAGCGAGTTGAGTGAGATTAACACCTTCACCATTGCCACCAGCGACAAGAATTCCTGTCTTATCTTCTACGATTCCACCACGTAGTTGATATCGTCTTACTTCATGTTTAGCAATGTCAGTAACATAAAGATTTCTCTGATCATTTACGAATAATCTCGAACACTTGATGTTGTCGATGAGGATTTGACCGTGTGTTGTCGCATCGTTATGACGAGGTCATCGAAGGACTCGTTGATTCCCCGAATCAGCAATAAGGAAGCTATCAGTCTCTTTGTCATATAACACATCAGTTGAACGTGCCAATTTATTTCCTTCATCTTCGCCAGTGGTAATGACTTGCCCATTCTTGCTTGTATCATCTGTTTTCCATTGGACGACACGATGATTCCAGAAATCAGCGATGATGATCGTCACCATTGTCTTCTGCTGTTGTTGATTATCATCGTCGTCATGGATGAGACAGAAACCAAGGAGACAGTTAAGTTGGTTGGCGTTATCGCCTTCCCCATTACCACCAGCAACAGTGACACCTTCTTGTGTCCATTGCGCACTTGGTGGTAGATAAATGACTATATAACAATGAAATGTGAAATCATATACGTAATTATCTCAAATAGTTTGGGATGCAAAGACAAAATCTGCTCAATGACAATAAAACTCATTGATGATACTATTTTGTAAAATATCTCTGCGATGTTTTTAGACTATTTCCTAATCGGTGGATATCAATCTGAAATAGAATCAAATCCTCCCGAAAAGGTTGTCATCAATTCTCATTCATGCGAATTTTTCTTTTTTGATCACTGATAAGATTTTCACGCGTCTGCACATGATTCTTCGATAATACTAAAGGCTGGTGATGCTTTCTTTTCGTTAAAACAGTAGTGAATCTATAATTCGAAAATAGCATCTAAGAATAATATCTCTAATGAGTTTAATTTGCGAGAAAGACAGTCAATCCAAAGGTACAATGCTGTAGAATGCGAAAAATTAATTTTTTTCGATCATTTTTTATGCATTTTCAGTTGAACTGTTCGGTTTTGCATTTGAAAATATGACATATTTGAAATCAGCATTCAAAACTGGGTCGTTCTATGTATACGAGAAGCAGCGCTATCGACTTTCATTGTTTTTTCGAAAAGTTTGGCTGTGGTCTCCTTCAGAGATATCCAAAAAAATAAATACCTTGAGGATGTGAGTGTGGGTGTTTATAGCACGTTCTCCCAGGCCTATGAACTCACACCCGCACCCTTCTTTTTTGACCCATTTATTCTAGTTAATAGAAAAGAATATCGAACTTCTAAATAGATCTAATTAAGATCAAGTCTGCTTTAGTATAATATATTCATCTTTTGTACATTTCTGTCGAGCGATTACAGTCGATCAAATCAGGCAATGAATAAAAAATAATATTTGGTACCAGATCAATACCAATTAGTATGTTTTCAATTAACAAAAAAGTAAATGATTAATTGCATTCATTCTCTTATTAGTTTATCTCGTCTTCTGTCTAATTTTTTTTTCACTTGAAATGCGGAATTTAGCTATGATAATCATACGACTGGAATTCAAATATGTGTAATTATAGAAAAGCAACCATTCATGTTTATAACTCACTAATCACAATATTTTATTATCTTTCAATTATAAAAATTCTTTTCGTTTTCATATTGTTTCTCATCGATATCGATCATAGTCAAAGTTCGGAGTGCGTGTGGGTGTGGATATGGATGGAAATATGTGTGTGATTGTGATTGAGAAGTATGCATTCCCACACTCACATCCACCTTCAGGTGGTGTTAACATAACTTGTAGTAAAGCTCTGATGTCGACAAAACATTGAACACCATGACCAGAAGACATTTTCTAAATTTAAGAGTCTTGAAAAAAAATGCTCAGCGTTGAAGTTTTGTAAATACATTCTGCAAGATCATAATGAGCACGAAAAAACCGGAACAAATGATTCGAGTTTACTGCTAGAATCACGATCAATGAAAATTTTCATAACGCATTAAGATTTATTCGGCAAAAAAAGAAGATAGATCATAATAATTCGGTAGAATATATTTAGAAAAATTTTAAAAAAGCAAATATACAATGATCAGTCTGTTTTTATTATCTTCTCATTCTCTAATGTATCAAATAATATTCATAGAATGCGATGAGAAGTTCATACAAGAACTATTTGTAACGAAAAATATATATATGTATTCCTATAAATATTATTTCGTTAATGGCAAATGGAGAGACACAGTAATGTCTTTGATCTCATTGTGAGCACGATGTTTATTCGATAGTTCACTACATCCAAATGAAACTATTATACATACAATATGAACTTATATATGGGAGAGACCAAAGGTAAGAGAGAGAAAGGAAAGAGGAAAGATATAAGAGAGCATCACAGAATATATAATTTACTGGCGAATAGTGATATAGAATTAGAAACGCATTACGACAAAAAGAGAACGCGGTTCCATCATGTATAGACAAACGTAAGTGTACCATGTAGCAATAGAAGTTCACAACAATTATACGAAAACATACAGCACTTTTTTGAAGATTCTACTAGAAATTTGTATATATTCTAGAAAATTCGTCGATAATGTTGTTTACCATAGAGTTCTTTAGGAAAGCACTCAAGCAGACAAAGTTTTGAGAAAACGCATTTAAACGCACAAAAATTGACCTCAAATCAGCAAAAAGTGGATGTTCTTGGCTCACACTTGCGGTTTTCGACCGTGAGCCAAAAACGTCCAATTTTCGCCGTTTTTTGTACGTTTACATAGGATAGTCAAAACGTTCTGCCACTTCACTATATCTAATCAAGAAAATGACATTCCATCCCTCTCTCTGCACCATATATATATTGGAGGTAGTTACTGTGCTATTCCAGTGGAAGTTTCATCCTTTTGACTCATTCTTAAGATGTCCTTTCGATGTAAACAGTAGGTATTAATTGACCGTCTTGGTTATTGGTGCAGTTTCACTAGTATTTTACTCCTCGGAAGTTTGAAAAAGCTTCTAAATAGTGAACAGATTTTACTTGATACCATTAATGGCTATCAGACACTTACTTGCTATCTCAATATTGCATGAAAATCATTATCAAAACTTAGCTCAACAAGGGAAACTAGTCCTTCAAGCGACATTTATGGGTGTGGGTGTGGGTGTGGGTGTGGGTGTGGGTGTGAGTGTGGGTGTGGGTGTGGGTGTGAGTGTGGGTGTGAGTGTGAGTGTGGGTGTGGGTGTGGGTGGGAGGGGGGGTGTGGGGGTGGGGGTGGTGGGGGCACGCTCGCCGATTACGCCTCGGCCCCAGGCCACCCCACACCTACACCTCCACCCACACCCACACCCACACACACCCACACCCACACCCACACCCACACCCACACCCACACCCACACCCTTACTCATACCTACATCCCTGAGTTTCTTAGTTTTGGCTGTCAAATTTTGGTCGTACATAATCAAATTCATTGAAACTTTCCAAGTTGAAAGTCATTTTTTCTCTTATCTAACATACTATTGTCATCTTCCTGATATCTAAGTTAAGCAACCTTACCTACATTTTCATTTTCCTGACAACTAATGTCCGCGCCAGAATAAAAGAGGGGTTAGTGTAAATTGAATAACTCAACAACAGCAACAGCTAGCGACCTGCGGTTTTCACCAATCGAAAGAGCAAACCGGGGGACGTATTTTTTCACGATATTGTTTCGGACAAAATTGCTTTGGACACTGTCATTTCTGAAAGTGTTTTCTGAGAAGAGGTACAAATGGTATGCCAATACAATGAATTTTTATTTTGATATTCTCATTAGATAGAGGGACTTCAGATCTATAGTTCAAGATACAATGCAAATTGTTGTCTCATT